ACAGAGAGGTGCCCAACCCTTGACTTGGCAGAGGATTATGAAGGAGATCACGAAACGCTTGTTTGCTGTCGGTGCTACTCGCCTTCCAGGATGGGGACGCGTGATCCTTGATGATATAGTTCTCTGCACCATGAGTGGGACATTTGGTAAACTGAATGCCACCACGTTCTAGGACCATGACTGCGTACAACGATGTTCGATTAGCCCAGGTCTATCTTTACAATACCTCTTGCTAGCATTTACGATAAATCCATTCGAATGCAGGTACATCAAGGGCAACGCTGATGGGAAATGGTACTTTCCTCGCAAACTTGCAGAAACTGCAGAGTACGAAACTACACCAGACCCTTCTGTCTAGCGTCGGTGATTCTCGAATCATGGACAAACACCAGTAACAGTAATTTGGACATTCACACCAACCGACATTCTTGACTGGCGGAAACTTGTTTGCGGACGGTCTTGCATCGCAAGCTTTTGGCTCCTGAAAACAGGCACACTGTCAAGTAACATAATTGAGCGAAACTGCAGAAAATGTGGTCTCCAACATAGCCTTTGATTATACATATCATGCTATTCCTCTAAAAGCAACACTGTGCAAATTGGTGTCCCACAGTGGCAGTGGAATCCAAAACCAAAGACGGTCGCCCGGGATCGGAGCCAGCTTTTGGTGGTAGCCCGCAAGAAGATGCCATGAGTACATTATTGTTTATCGTCTGTATCAGTTTCTAGCTATGCCGTTGCAGCCTGACATGTTTGCAGTTAATTTTTACTCTAGGAAAAAGAGCTGCAAGTTTCCCTGTGTATGCTAGAGCAATGATCAAGATGCATCAACAGCAAACCTGTATTTGAAGTACACTACTCTAACTGGAGACTCAGTAGACAGAAGAGAGCTTCAATCCACGGCACGCAATGATGAATTGCCTCCTGAAAGCCATATCAAAGCTTTTGCTCATAGGACACCATGAAAATCCGTAGTTGCTCCGTAGATGCAGCCGTAGTTTTTTTGAGTTGACAATATTTACATTTACCTAACTGATATTGGACTGCAGACAGATAGACGTTGATCAAAACGAGAACGACAATAGATAACAGCACAGCCATATTAACAAAATTATCAAATCAAGAAAATCATTGCTAAGGAATACAGGCACCGCAATAATTATTCGACTCTGGTAAATTGAGTGTGGTACCCTGCGTACCTGCACGTATTTCCATTGGTACGAGACACGTTTACAGAAGGCTAGATGCAACTGTCAACTTGACAGAAAACCAACTTCTAGCGCAAAATGTCCAAGCTAATGAAGTTGAACGACTCAGCTGCCTATCAGGTCTGGTGGGTGGTCTGGAGCTGCTGATGAGACACCAGCAGCCGTTAACACATCTCGGCTTCAATCGATAGCCCAAGGTTGTTGTTTTTCATATTATAAAGAGTTGACAACTGAAAACCTTCGTAGAGTGGATGGATAATACACTATGTGTAGGCTCAAGCATAGCATAGTTTGTCTTTCTTAAGGTTGAAATATTCTTTACGTTGTGTAACCATACTAAAATATCAACCACGGATTTCCAACCGTGAGCAATAATCTGCTGATTGACCATCCCAATACACAGGCAATCTATTCTATGTAAGTCGAAGGGGCTATGCACGCTCTGTTTGATACGCGCGAACAGCAACTAGGTTGGGGGAGTTAAAACAGACCCTGTTATCACAAACCAGATGATCAGCTTTGTGTGGTATCGTTTGCATGCAAACGGATTGGACTAACGCTTGCAGAAAGCCCACATTGACATCTCAACGGACCTAAGTCAAAAGTAACTAACCTCAGTCCTTATGGTCTAGAGCAAACGCGGCACTAGGCAATCTTAGGAGGCTGTTCAAATATTGCGAAATTACTTACCAAACAAAAAACTGAAAGATCGAAAACACTTTAACTCTAACAAAAGCCCTTTCAGCAAATTAGAAAAGCCCCTATTGAATAATGAGACAATGACTGATGCTTCTGCCCTTAACCGAGTGCTATGAAGCCCGCACACCAACATCCTAAACTGCAAACAATAATCGGTCTAGGATTGCTAATAACTAACTTGACTGTAAGCTAGGTTACAAACAACGCAACTGATGTTTAACATAATAAGCCATTAGGAATCAGCCGGTCCGCAGAAAGGAAGTTTTTTTAATTCTTGCTCAACGTGCAAAATATGACCGTTTAGGAGCTGGGGGTAGAGTCGCATTACTTCAAATCAATGCCTTCTGAAACCTTCACTAATGGTGGTAAGCTTATCCACTTGCGACGCAATGTTAGAATAGCTGAGCACTCAGACAAAATATAAATATAAATATGCTGTGGAACAAGAGTAAATACAGTGAAATGATGTATTAAATGTTCCGCGTAGTTTTGCATTATACACAAAACATCACTCAAGTACAGATGAATGAAATGCAGTCCGCAGATGACTAAAGTAATATATTTTGGAAGCATTATTTGGAGCAGGTTGCAGTTTATGGGACTTTTGGGAGCCACACACTACCAGCTCGATGCTTTGAAGCGCTACTTTCATTTGATTGTAAAAATAAATTACAACGATTTTATCAAAGATGGTGGCCGTTGGAACGAACCCAAAAAGGTCTTACAAACATTTTGTAATTGGTCACTGCTTATCCCAGTACACTTGTTTCCTAACCCACTGACCTTCAAAGTATATCATAGAGACAACTCATTGACCAATTAATTTCGAACGTATAGAGCAAATGGTGCTACCAGACATGTGAAGTTTTTTAGGAGCATCAACTATATGTCGCTTGTTGCTTGCCTTACACTCGAATTTCAGCTCGTGAAGAAACTAACTGGGTAACGGGTTTGTAGTTTGGCTACCAAGATAGTTGTCCGTTGCTACATACGGTGGCAACTAGTGTGTTGTTAATGGCTTTCCCTTCTAACAAATTCAATGTGCTTGCGCTAAACGTATGATCTTTGAGTGCCATAAACACAGGATGTGACTGGCAGTGGATATTGCTTTGGGTGTGTTACGTGCAAATACAAATTGCTGTTCAGGATCCATCTTTGCTCTCCAGGATTATTCTGTCTGAATTAACCGGGCAAGCGCTTATTGTTGATTCTAAATAGCTTATAGTGCATCAAACGCAATGAAATAACTGGATTCCTGTCACATTCTATAAAATTATGGAATCAAAAAGTGGCGTTTTCAGAAAAGCTTTAATGGCCACTTCTCCATCATCGCTGAATATGACTCACACAGGTTTAGTCCCTAAGAAATTCTATTTACAAACATTGAAAACTCATGTGCCACTGCTATATGCGTCTAGGCATTCAAATGCCTTCCCAAATCTCCACTGCGTCGGCTAAGCCAAGAAGTAAATACAGCGTCATAACTTCCACGAGGCAGCAGGTGAAAAAAACATAATCGGTTGTATTGTTTTTTGCGTATATCTTTTTAAAAAAATCATTTCTCTGACCGATAGCTCAGAATATGTGCAACATACCAAAGTGCACTCATTTGGTACCTCCGGTCGACGTATGTTCACATGCCCTGGAGATATCATTAGAACTCACCTTGATAAAATGCAAAACTGAGCAGCTCAATTGTTTGCTTATTCAGTGTTAGTTTCTGATGATTCTAGAAGGGAATTCCTGGCGTTTCGTATTGGGTGAATTTCAGGAGAGTAGTGGCCAAATTTCTCACGTTCCCCCGGCCATTGGTCGCTACAGTGCGGTCAGTCTTGTTACCCATGCCATTTTGCTTGTGAGGCAGCGGTCCGCTGGTATTTCCGGCTTCCTGACCGGAGCTCGATCGTTTCATTTTAGCCCTTACGCATGCCTGCTCCAAATGACTATACTCAGCGTCCTTGTTGTCCCTTTGAGTGATATGAAAGTCCAGACGTTTGAGAATAAGACCCTCCTGTGTTGTCATACTTGCGTTATTCTCATTTATGACACCGCCTACATGGTAGTTATGAATAGTTTATAGTTTATTATATATGATGATATCCTAATCTTTCTATTATTATTTATTTTTTGTCGGTCAAGTTCGATCCATCTTCACGTACTACTTACAAACCCACTAAGCTCTGACCACTTAACCTGCTGAATTTCTGTGTCCATCGATTTTTGAAAGATCACAAGTCGTTGGACGAAAATACACTTACATTTTCATCTTGATAACAAGCAAACTAGGGTGGTGTGTGTTGTCATTGTTCTTTCTTCAGAATACTGGCACCCTAGTTCTGTGCCTCGAAGACAGACAGTGTATATTTTTGCAATTTTTCAGCCCCGATTTCAACACTGCAATAAACACAAGAGATGATGAGGTAGGTCCGTTTCGTTCCGCTCATCTGACGATTGCCTCAGCACAAATAAGACTGGTGATGACAATACCGAAACGGACCAAACTTTTTCTCAATGCCAAAAGTCCCAGAAGCAGGAAGAATATGAGCAAATCAAGTACCTACATGACTCCATGTGAAAAGTGCATTATCCCATCGTTTAGAGATGAATTCAACATCTCGACCGAGCACATAAAAAAACTAAAAGTGGAGAAGGATGAAGTACAGGAGGCCTATGACGCAGCCTGTCAAAAATCTACAGCCATTCCTTGTATTTTGTTACGAAAGAAGTTGCAGCGGATTGAACGTGAACTCGACTATGAGACTAAGGTTAACAGACATATAGAAGAGTTGATGGCCAGAATCAGGTACCATTTCGGTCAGATGTCTACTCTCTTCTCCAGTTATGAAGTCAGTCTGCAGGAACTGCAACTTTCAGACCGTCTACTAATCAAACCTTCCATGTTCACCTCTTCATTCAAATCGAAAGCGAGACGAATTAAAGACGAGAATCGATTGATCAAACAAACGGAGAAGAATATTGTCGAGCTACAAAGGTCAGATTTGTAGCTTTTAGATGATTTTGATCACTTCAGGGCTAAGGTCGCGATGCAAGAATTGGCTGAAACGCAAACAGAAGAGAGAAATTCTCAAATGCAGGTATCTATGAAGAGACATAGACCATTCTTTGCGCAAACCATCCAAGAGTAAGTTCAGGTTCATTATTTGTTGACCAATCTTTTTCTTAGTTTGCAGAGACAGAAGGAAATGAACACCAAGAGCGATTGGCTACGCCGAGCTAGAATGTTTCATTCTGCCTCGTCATTGAGGCAGGCCATTGAAAAATCACGGGTGTGTTCATTTTATATTAACTCAAATTGGTGTTCGTAAATGGTACTCATTTCATTTGACAACTAGATAATTTTGTTACCTATTTTGCTGGATTATATCCTCATCCTGAATAAGAATGAGTCGGCTGCAAGAATATTCCGGATTCTTGATACCCAGCAGCAGCCCCCTGTCATCCACTTTCTGTTTCTTTGTTTGACTCTGTGGACCATCTGAAGGTCAAATAGTTTAACGTTGACCTTGACCGTGAGCAACCAGGCTTCTATTTGTCTTCTGAATCAACAGCACCAGTCTGAGCAGGGCAATGGGGCCAGGGGTTGAACCGTTCTGAATCTGGGTTGCATAAGACTTATCTTAGCTAATATAGTCAGCATCACGCGATCATTTAGAGAGACAGCGGTCTCAAACGCAATTATTGTTCTAAAGATTTTAAAGTGAAAAAAGTAGTATTTTATACAAATCGAATAAGACGACTTGATTCATCCCACAACGCCAAATAACTCACGATGACGAGTCACAATATAAACTAAACATAAGAGAAAATATACTATTCAATCGGACAGCGGATAGGTTTAAATTCCGAATTGTCCCTTCTAAAATTTTCAAGTCATACCCATTTTCGGTCTTTGAATATATNTATGTACCATTATTATATATCAATATACTTCATAGATGCTCGAATTTCTTTGGATAGCTTTAGGGTAAGGACACAATCTAAGCTTGCCCAGCTACCTATTCATGAAGTTTTAGCGCTGTTGTTGGACGTCTGTCGCATTCCACGTGTTTACGTTCAGAGATATTCAGATGTGAGTGAATGTGAAAAATCGAAAAACATAAAAGGTCAAAAACGTATTTGTAGTTGTTACCTATTTTGCTGGATTATAATTCGTCAACAGCCCACGACCGGTTGCGCCCTTGTTGGGGCTCATCAGGTAGGCGCAGTCCTCGAGTTTTCGTCAACCTTATATTCTACTTGAAACCAAATTGCACGAAGCGTGTTGTGCTGTGAACCTGAAGATAACGTTAACAGTGCGGCGAACTCGCCTTGCAGATGTGACAAGAAAAAAGAGAAATGGTTTAGTCGTTTTTGGTGGAATTCCTACGTCCACTGAAGTAACCTATTTGCTCTGAGCTTCATCTTAGTTTTTCACCAAACTTCAAGGGATTCAACTGTTTACACACTTCAAGTGCAACATAGCTTTCGTTCTCTATAAATATGTACAACAGTAATAAATCGATCATGTATGCCCTCCACGTATGTCCAGGATCTGTCACTATGCTCAATCTTCCAATCATCAGCGTGAGAACGCAATGAAGACGAACTGTCAAAACAGGTTAATTTATCAATCTTCAATTTTTGATTTTCCCACAGTTTCTGGTCATTTTTGAGAGTCCCTAGGGGTTCTCAATCCTTAGGTCGCAATATGAACTGCAAGGAACCAGCACTGTGTGGTTCAGTTGACATCACTGCACGATCAATAATACGCTGACACGACTACGCACTGAAAGACTGGACGAGCAATGAAAAGTGTCCATTCAGAGTGGGTTTAGGTGATTAGGTTATACCAAACAATTTAAAAAGGTATCAACCTGCTTTGGTCTCATTTGCTTCTCGTACAGTTTCGGTTTCCGTTTACTTCTGTGTAGAAGAGTTCTATTTCCACGAGAAAATCCAAAAAGCGGAGTGTTTGGGAGACTGCCTAGGTCATCTGTGACAGAGACTGGTTTATCTCTGCCGGTGATGGCGAACCTAAGCCGCTCATAAAGAAGAAAAATTTACATATCCTTTGTGGTGATGAACTGCATGTTGGAAGGAAACTACACAGAAAGTCAAAAACCATAGTGCTGTCACCACACAGCATATCCAGGAAGGACCATCACACTGGTGTTGATTGAATTCATTGCACTAAATTTTATGCAGAGCACGGCTTTGGTTCTGTCTGAACTATTGTAGACGTTGTTGAACAGTGTGCGGTTGAACAGACTATGAATACGGTACAAGATCCCGGCAACACTCAGAAAGACTCGTCAGGTCTTCCAAATGGCGCGATCCAATTTAAACGTTTTGAAGTCAGTGATGTTAGGTTCTGGAGCAAGAAGCGAATAGCTTGGCTCTCGTCATTTGACTAAAGTCACACAAGGGAGGCATCGGGTTCTTCTGTCAACTATGCCCTGTCTTGAGAATATGTCTCCACTGATCCGATGCACATGAATTTCGTACAGCACCATAAAAGTTATGCACGACTGAAAGAAAATTGGCTCTTTGCGAGGCACAGTATTCAACTGTGTTAAAATATTGGTAGTTCGGGTGAGTTTATTGGCTGTTGATCTGTTCAACGAGCTTGGCAATCGATTTGCAAACGTTTCGTCACCGTACGAGAAGACATCATCATCAGTGCACACCCAATTCTGTCATTAAAAATTTTTGAAACACAACTGACTGCATCCTCTTACCCCAAACCCCATAGGAAGGCATGTCTGCTGGCCGGCGAAAGCGATTCACTGAATGGGAAGCAATGCAAGAACTGGAAGACGGCATGTTGAAATCGGAAGTGGAATCATGTTGTGAAATGGAAAGGGAAATTGTCTTGCGGCGCCGAATAGCTCAGATTGAAGCAAGACACAAGTAAGTCAACCAAGTCAGTATATCCATAATATATAAGCCACGCGTGGATTTTTCTCCGGTAATGTGCCGAACGATTTGTAGCTCGAATGACTTTATTGGTTGTTGAGTAGGTGGCTATTGATCCTTTCGCCGAGCTTGAAAAACTTGAAAACTTGAAAACATCTCGTAACGATTCGAGGAGACAACAGCAGTGCGCAGTTGATTGGGCATTCCCAGTTGGTTCGTGTGTGCTTATGTAGCATTTGAATACTATCTGTTATCTCTCAATCTGATTGGCCAATTGGGCGGCAGTGTTTCCCCTCCATTAATTGGTTCTTTTATGATCTTTCTTGCGTTGTGGTGATGATAATGATAATGATGGTGATGATATGATGAGGATGATGATGATGATGATGATGGATCGACATCTTGGAAAAGTCAGAGTGCTCCATACAGACGACACTCCTATTTCTAAAAGGTCCGGGAAAACAGAACATAGGCTAGAAGCTTATAGGCGCAATAGTGCGACTTTCCAAAATGTGCTCCTTTTTCGCAAAATTAAATTACGGGAAGTTGGTCTTCACCGGAAAATATAATCAAACGCATTGCATCATTCTTGAACGAGTAGTGAATACAATTCACAAGGAAATGGGGTCTTTGTCCGCAAGTAGCAGAATGAGGCTAGATTTACCGGTGTTATCTGCCCAGCAGATGCGATAGGGATCTTCAAACTACGGGGCGCTAGGTTTGTTTTTATTTTCGGTTAATTCGCTACTCAGTATCAGAAGCGTTTCTATGAAGCGTTTTTCTATGAAAAACTAACCGCACTGGTTAATGCACACTTAAATTTGTTGTAGTAACGATCCTACACAGAGATGAGTTTCTTAAATTTATTTCAATCCTAGTGTTAAGTTTGATTATCGTAACAAATGATCATCTGAATATTGAGCTGAAAAAACAATAAATTGGTTTGCTCACTCTCTTTCATGACTTCCAATGCTCATATATCTTGTAGTTTGTGACTAAGAAGTGGGGTATATCCATAATGTGTGAATTCAGTCCATCCCTGTGCGGTTTCTTTATTCTACTTGTTTAACACAAATGCAATTGTCACTGATGATTTGAGGTTTATGGTTTCCTCACGTGACTTGTTGTAGCCAACTTGCCATTGTTCCCCATATGGTCCTTTCTAAGGCCCTAAATAGGACGCGATCTCAATTCATCCGGCCGTTTATATGGATAAGTTGACCACACAATAGCTCGGTGGTTAAGATGCGAACATACAGACCGAAAGGCTTATGGTCAGAACACAACTTCGGATTATCGACCGCTCTTGTCTAGGCTTGGGTAACCTGGCATTATCTAAGTCCTCGTACTACTTTCGGGTAGTGTGACACCAAAGGAAAGGTTGCAGTTGAACATGATTATTAGTGTAGGTTAGCGTAGCTCGTAATAGTACACCTTCGTCCTTATTGGTTCAAATACAGCGTGACAGCTGTACGAATGACATTCGGTAGATGATCTGAACCGTCTCTTCTAGTTTCATCCCCGACATGTGCGTTCTGGATGAGCTTATGTCAGTTCATAGCAATGATTTATCGTCAATCAAACGAGATATCTCCCAAAACAGCGCAAAAAACGTTCAATTTGATCAGCTTTTGTGAGTAGATGTTGATAGCGGATAAAATATGAGGGCGGGTTTGATTGGGAACTCCAAACGTTATTGTTTCCTAAGTCAGCAGGAGCTCTGCGGGATGTACAACAGTTTTCTTGCATTGCGAATCCAGTCACTCCAAAAAAAGATAAACTTGAACCAGTCAGCTTGAAATCTCCTTTGAAAGTGATAACCATAGTCTGTAGCATTCGTCCCATCAGACATTAGTTCTGGTAAAGTTCCGTGGGTATATTCGAACCTCGATGCAAAACTGACGGGATGTCCTGCTTATGAACACGCCTAGTGCCGGCACTTGGCTTGCAATCAACATCGGAAATAGATCTCATCCTAGACGTATGAATAGTCCATTAAAATTGGTGTTTAAATAGGAAATATCACATATTTGGTTTGTGTTTCTGCATGTTTGCGGTTCTAGTCGTAGGCACACTGCAGTATGGACAAAAACTGATTTTCCCCTAACCACTCCTCCCAAAAAGGTGGGAACATGCTCCGTTCTACTGAGAATGTAGTGGGACTGACGTAAAACGCTAATGTATAGAGATAGACCCTCAAGAAGAGTTTCGTCATACAATTTGGCTTTGTTTTTCATTCGACCAGCATAAACACCCTCAGAACTGTAGCTTGCCCTGTGGTTAACATCCTACCGGCCGTTGATTGTGGTCAACGGGACATCTTCAGTTATCAATGAGTTTCAAAGACCATTCATCGCTTTGAATCTTTTACCTTGTAGACCAGAATAATCTAATATAATTAGTTAGTATCTGCACTTTAGTGTTCTTATGCTAGTGACCTAAGCTACATACTTTCACCTGCGCAGTAAAGTTTGAATAGCTTGTACAAAATCTGACGGCTATCAGACAAAACCTGAGTCTTGTCAACACATACCACGCCGACGGTTCAGAACGATCACCTGGAATCACATGTGACAATCAAAAATAGCATTTTGAATTTTGTTTGCCATTTCTTCCACATGAGGTAAAAATGCTTCATATGTTCCTAAAATGATGTGAGATTTTATAGAACAGAGTTCAGGTTTCCATTTATCACGTAATCTCACGATTCAAGCGGAATCACCCTAAAAAGACCTGGAGTACATCTGGATTCAGGTATCGAGACAGTTGATAAAAAGGGAATAGTTCGGTTGCGCTGACTTTATGATTTGTTCGACTTCTGCAGCCAGCAGGAAAGATGTTGAGTCTTTAGCGATGGAACGGGAAATATCATCATCGTGATCAGCACCATCACCCGCATCATCAGAAACATCAGCATCAGGGTCGACACTGATGCTTCACTGCCTTTTATTCACAGAGTTTATCCAAATATATTTAAAACCTCAGAATGAAAAGAAGAGGAAAAATAGTGGGCGAGGGAAAGGACCTGATCCCGGTCTAAAGCAAGCTTTTTTAGGTGTCTGCACCTCCAGGCTCTTAGTCAGGCAGACTGGAAAAGGACCGACAGCACGATCGCCACTGACATCTGTCAGCTACCGCCTCAGTAGAGGTTGCGGGGACCCCATCCTGGAAGGCGCACCGCAACAACATCATGTCACACGGTTACCGCTATTGTAAAGAGGGCGCCTAGAAAAGCACTTGTCTCAGTAGACGGCGTTTCGCCATGCGTAGAATGTGGCCAAGCCACCGCAGTTGAAGGTGACGGATGTCATCCGCAATTGAAGAGCCTGCTTCGCAGCAAAATACCCATTTTCTAATTACCCAGTTAGGAATTCCGTTGACGCCATAGGACACCAGCGACGTTTCTGAGGCATTGGTGGTCATGAAACGCGTCCGTGGTACACGCAAATCTTGTGGTCCAGTGATATGCCATTTTGACGCCACTAGTGAGAAATAAAGCAAAAGGAATATGATTTCATCCACATAATGATTATCGAGATAAACACAACATCGACAGTGTTTATGAACGTTCATTTTCAAAAAATTCAATTCATGACTGAACCATTCCGCTGAGCTGTGCCTTACGTGTAAACGCGATAACTACAATACTCGAAACTGTCCATTCTCAGATCCTCTCCTCAGTCAATCGCCGTAAAAACTTTTAATTTTATTTGTAAAATCAAATAATTAGTTAATTTCAACTTAAACCCGTTTAACAGGGCGTTCCGCGAAGCCCAAAGCCACAGACGTCTGGAAATCGTTGCCAAAATGCTAAAAGAACAAAACGAACAAGAGAAAAAGATTAACACTGCTCCACAGAAAAGTCGACATAGACAAGTTGAATTTATTGGGGTAAGTTGGGGTTTTATTCTGTCCGTCAATAAACTACTTTCATTTTGAGCAGGATTCAATTGTTCAGACTTTTAAATCGGAAAGGATAAAGAAGATACTCGATGGTTTGACGTCCGAAGAAGTTGACACTTCCCAAAAGGTAGTTGCTTTGTTTTGTGACTGGTTTTCTTTGATCTCAAATCTTTTAATGTTCACTGAGTTGAACACGTGCTTTATTTCACAAATTTATTCAAAACTTCCGCGTGCAAATGTTGGTTGTGGTAATTCGGAACACTGGTAACCTTAACGCTCATAAGACTAGCGTCAAATTAAGGTAAGGAAACCTGACGATTTCCTGATGCGAGTAATTTGACCCTGTTGTGGGAGGGTCATGAACAAGAGGATACCAGTGGAAGAATGTTACACCTTTCAGTCTTTTGAGATTCGTTCTAGTTGAGAACGAATCTTGGTTCACCGATAACTCTTCTATTCTGTGAAACAGTAGTCTAAGTCTACTTCATCATTTTCGTATGGGTTTTCATGTCCAACTTTTTGTCTTTGAAACTGCATAGTCTGTCGGATGGCCACGGAGTAGTTCTGGGGCACCCGAGATGACACACTTGACAATTTAACTGGATATCCCGGTCGTTGTGCAAGTATACAACTGAAAAATGCAAGTGTCCTTACTATAAGAATGTCGAAACCACCTCGATCACCAAGGAAGTGTGAACGATATGACCGACAGTATCTGTTTACACGGCGACAGTTTCAGAAAACGTTTAGCACTGTACAGGTTGTAAAGCACAGCTTCCAGGCAGCCACACTTTACATGTTTGGGTGAATGAGGGTCGTCGCTGAAGACGATATGGATCTTGCACGTCCGGAGAACTGATTTCACTGTTTTTTTATCTAATTAACTAGCTATATGACAACTTCGTTCTTCCTCCAAGTCCATATATTATTCATGTAGATCTGCCATAATAAACCATATTAAAACTATATATATATGTACTCAATAGAGTATATTGAGCACTTTGAGCCTTCAGTCGTTAGATGAGTTCCTGCAGAAAGCAGCCTGAAATAACTAATCAATTGAAAAGAATATCACTAGCTCAGGTTGTAATGATGGCCTTTGATTTGTTATCTGAGCTGAGTAATTTGATTGAGAACGTTTCATCTTCCGTGAAAGTGACATCATCAGTGAATTTTGATTGGGAGCGTATTTGTGGAAGGAAGTGCATAGCCTTTGTGCATGAATGTATTTAGGCAGTCTGCCATACCAGACTGAACTTGAGTGATCACTGTTCACTGACATGAGCATTTCTATTGGCTCAAGGGATACAACCAATCAGTAGGGGTCTACTGCACAGGCACCTCCATGATAAAACTCAAAATAGTGTAGCTCGGCTCTTGGCTTCATCCTCAGGTTCGTTTTCTGAGAGATTGCAGAAAATAGTGGGGAGTTTCTGTAGAAAATTACAGCTTCCCTGCAAGTGAAAAAGGCCGTTTTGTGTCGGTAATTTCGTTCGTAACTGTCAAAATTTCGCTTGCAAGTCATTGCCCAATCGAAATCTTTAATCCCCAATTTGATGATATAAAGTTCGACATACAACTATCGCTTCAAAAATCCACTTTTTTATGAAAAAGGCTCGAAACAGTTCTGCGGGATTGCAGGTATATCACTGCATCTATTCAGGTGCATAATAAAATCAACCTAATAGGCAAAACTGAAAACATAGTTTGCCTTAATAATGACTGATGTTCCCAACTCTACAAGACAGTCCATAAAGTGAACAACCGTTTCTCTCTACAAACTTGCGGTTTTCATTTAACGATGGCGAATAGAAATAATCTTCTGATAGCTGCGTGATGTAAGATCTCGAGTGCAATATCCATCCTTATCTCCAGACGATGGACGACGTTGTCTGCGTCGGGTAAAGTAATGCCCGACTGGTGGTGAAATCGGAAAGTTTTAAACCGGTTAAAAGGCATTTCCTTCTAGCATACATTTGTTCGCCTATCTTTCTGTTCTGCTTACGTAGGTGACCGGGGGCGAGATGGAACAAGTGGTTAGAGCGCGAATTTACTGACCGGAAGCTCCATGGTTCGAGCCCGACCTCTACCACTCGACTTCCCCTGTCTAGGCTTGGGCAACCTGGCAGTATCCCAGCCCTCGTGTCTCCTTCGTATGGCATGGCAGTTAGGCACCGAAAGGGTACTACAACTGGACGTAGGTGGTTAAGCGTGCATCCACGATGTAACCGATCACATGGGATTTTGCGGACAGATTGAAAGCCCCGTGTTTGGCAGGGCCATCTTGTGGTTGCAGCCTTAGAAACAGACCAGTTTTCCAGTATATTAGTTTAGCGCCGCTGTAACTGCGGTAAAAAAATACCAGGTTAAAACAGGATTGCAACGAAAGAACTAGAGAAATTTGATTGATCAGTAGCCGATTTGATCATAAGTGGACTGATAATTAAATAATTTTTGACTGATGCTTTTCGTTTTATCTTTTATTGCAAGTTGATCGAAACTTTTCGGGGGACTTACAATTGACGTACTCTGATCACCCATCGCTTCTCTCGGATGCATTGTATTCGAACTAAAATTGCCGGGAGGATTAAAACCAAACCCCGTACGCGGCGGTTTTACGTGATTTGTGGAATACACTGTCCATTGCAATGTCCATATTTCCAATGCTGTGTACATTTGCACCAATCATTCAAACAACCTGTTCATATGCTTATCCCCAAGACCCCCAGAATGCGAGCCATCAGCGCCGATCCATCCAAGTCTGGACTTGTAAAGGGGGCGAAAGATTCAAGGGAAAAAACGCCAACATCAGAAGATATGAAGAGCATCGTTGACACAGTGATGAAGGAGGACTTAGATCACATTCTCAATGACTTTAGTAAGTGAAAATGACCGGATTCTATTTTGTGCTATTCTTCTATAGCATTACGACCTGGTCTGGGTGGACGAAGAACAGTGATTTCTTCAAACTTCTTGGAAAGCCCGAATACTAGTACAGCCGTTTCTAATACAACCGCATCGACTCAATACAACAGTATTATTAATGGATTTGTTTACTCGAACATTCCGTTTCAACTTTGACTTTTTGTCACGTTGGTTATTTTTGCCTGGAGTCAGGTCGGATTTTATTTGCCGTACCATACTTTTTTTGCTGTTAACCTTTTGATCGATCGTTTTTTTTTCGAAATTTTTTGATCAAATACATATACATGAGTTATGCTTTGCAGTTACCGAACCTGAGATAGCTGACTGGTTAAAGCTTGAGTTTATTTACCACAGGGTCCTTGCTTCGAACCTAACCTTGGCTTCTCGGTCGGTTCTCTGGAGGAATGGACAATCCAGCAGTATTTCGGCGATAGTGCTTTCCTCAGGGCAGCTCGGCGCCAAAGAGCGATTAATTTGTTATTTAAATCTGATCAGGGCTCATGTCAATGAGGATGATAGAAGAAAGTTAATAAACCACTGGCAATTACCCATCTCTTGCTAACAGTGCTTGCAAGATTGGTGGAATTTACGTTTATATCACTCTATTCTGAGCAGTCGTTCGCCTGTCCTGGCACTGAACTGGAGTTTCGATATTATCAGAGGTCATCAGTAGTATATGTCCTTCGCTATGCTGAGGTTTGAGCTCTGGGCGTCTGACACGTTAGGCTAGCATGTTACCACGAGTCGACCCGCGCCTGCTAGATGCATCTGAGATGGCACGTTGAAATGAGCCATGCGAATTACTTGTCCGGGGCCTCAAGCGATGACCCAGGAAATATCCTGGATAGCCTGCCTGTCAAGAATTCCGTTCAGCTGTTGGTTTTCTACCGAACCCCACTCAATTTGTAGTACATGGTCTGTTGTGCTCCTTCCTTTAGTTGATCGGGATTCCACGAACGCCTACACTCACGTGGTTGGAGACCACTGGGAAGAATCGAGCGAGGATGAGACGATGGAAGGGGATGGTGAACTTGGAAAAAGCGAAGAGGACAGCCTGCAAGATACCCATAAACGGGGCAAAAGAAGACAAACAAACCGACAACCAACGACGTTAGAAAAGGTTAGTGAAAACCACAGTTCAGGGGTTACCCAAAAACCGTTCTATGGGCTGGGAATATTCCACATTTAAACAGAAATAGGAGTGGACATCACTACGTTTCTTAGATTTCACAATTAACCAGAAGGCGTCTTAAGTTCTTCTGACGGCCTCCTAAGCCAGGTTTTCTACCTGCACAGCTGATGTCTGATACGCTGACCTATCAGCTGGACTGAATTAGTAAATCCAGCAAGACCAGTCACATTATTCCGTACCTTACTGCAACTAACTCTACTAGGAACAGCTGGTCGCTTGAATTCCGGTGTCCAACAACGTCTTTCAACACCACCAGTTTTGGACCTTTGGTTCTTCCCATTAGAAACAGACTGGACACAATGTTTAGCGAGACCACATCCAAATCTCTATTATTGCAATTTCTACTTTGTTAAGGACTTAGCTGTTATCTGATCTGGGCAGGATATGTTTGAACAAATGCGAGTGATGCTTTTGGACTTTATAAGAGCAATCAGAACGGTATGGTTGAACTACCTTTTGAAAGCTCCCGATGCACAAATGTAGACTGTCAAAGGTGCACTATACTGGTCAGGTCTTACATCCAAAAAAAATTGTGGATCAAAGAAGGATTGATATATCTGGACCTAATGTACACCCTCTCTGTGCTCAGCCATATGTAATATTTTGTTTTGCGACCTCATTCATGAATTTATCTGTTCGGCTTCAAGAGCGTAACGACGTGCTTACCTGGCTTATCGATTTCCGGATTTCACCTACATCTGCAAGGCCGAGGAAACGCACAGCTTGTGGACTCTCAAATTGGCCTGACTCACGTTCACTATTTCTCACTTTGAGTTTCACCAAACGTAGTACTTTCTTTCCGAACACGAGAAGGATTGTTCAGGCCATGGTAACGTCGGTCTTGACTTTTTGGTTGGCAGATTTTTCAAGTGCAAAACACAGACAATCAGTGGTACGGGAGCGAGTGAGAGGTGAATATCATTTCCACTGCACCCAATCGAGTCAGAAACGTAGTCCCCATAGGCTATAGGCTGGTAAACAAGTGAGGTCAAGGAGGGCTTCAGTTAATCAAAGAGACTACTTAATTGTATCCATGGCATAGTTTGTCGTTGGAGTCTTGCAAAGCCTCTACCAAGTAAATTTTTTGTAGAATGATATTTCCAGATTGGCAGAGAATAATATACACTAAAATACGCTGATCGCTGATGGGCGTTTCGCCAGTTTGAATTAAATTTACGCACGATTACATCGCACATTATCATCATCGTCAGCAGGACACCAGTGTTCAACACTGACACTTCACTGCCGTCCTGCTGTGATTTATTTGACAGCCTCATTGCGAAGAAAAGAAACCTGAGCCTTACCTACCACAACCATTTCAATATGCCTACACCTTCAGACACCTCTCTTCGAAGAGAAGAACAATGCCGTCTGCATATACCCATTCAAAAAGTGTCTCGTCAGCAGCTATTGGAACATTATACTTTTGAAGACCCTTCCACCCCTGACGGATGACACTTTGTGTACCGAAGATTTTTGAGAGCTTTCGGTATACCCTCAAATGCCAGAAGAGAAATCGTTCAGCTGTGGCACCCTCTCGGTGCCCGAGTGCCATGTAACCAGGAAGCACGAGGACTGGAATACTTCCAGGTTGTCCAAGCTTAGACAGGGGAGGTCGAAAAGTAAAGGTCGGGCTTGACTTTTTGGTTGGCAGATTTTTCAAGTGCAAAACACAGACAATCAGTGGTACGGGAGCGAGTGAGAGGTGAATATCATTTCCACTGCACCCAATCGAGTCAGAAACGTAGTCCCCATAGGCTATAGGCTGGTAAACAACAAGTGAGGTCAAGGAAGATCAAAGATTAGTTATCGATCTTGTGACCTCTAGTCTGACTAGCGAACTCCAAAGTGTCCCACAGACTGTGAGCGGTTCCAACAGGTTAACGAGCCATGAATTAAACCTGCCAAGGGTGAGCCTCTGGTAGATGGCCACCGAACTGTGAGATTGGCTTACAGGTGAACCAGACTCGTCCATAATCACTGCTATAAATGTTTTTTCCTATAAACGTAGTCGAGTCTACCTATCCTCCAAGAGAACTCCCACACCTTCGTCTCAAGGGATATGAATAACGAGGACTGACAAAATATGAATTCAGCTGTCCTATATTTAGCTCGGAAAAAGGTACTAGCTCCGAACGTTGATAAAAAAAACTCTCGAATTCAACTTCTAAATCAGGCTGACCATTCTTATGCCCGGGGTTAACAAAATTTGGAACCACACGATAGTGCCTCCAATAGCCACTAGGTGGTAGTGATAAATGTCACAGGTGAACAAGGAACCGTTCACATCTCACAACATGACTCGTGAATAGACGCTCTGAGCTGCAATTATGCGGCATAAAGTAACGGAAGTATGGTAATAATGCAGGCTATTGTTGACAGTTAGGCTCACTTCCATCGGCTGAATGATGCTCACAATAAAGAAAAATATTAACTGGTGAAACTCGCTACTTTGAACCATGACTAGTAGTCTGGCCGACTCAAGAAAGCGATTTTCTTTCAGTGTCTCTTCACATATTCTTGTTTATGCGGAGCATAAATTTCGAATATCTCAACAATACGTCCCAGATACAGCCTTGGTACAGTCCTCAACTATCCCACGTAATGAATAATTTTTTTGCTAATCAACGTTATTTGAAATACTGTCAACGTTTTTTTCCAATGCTTGTACATTATATTTCAGGAGTTACTGCGACGCTCCCTAAATCGAATTCGTGAGCATATTGTTCAACCACAAATTGTGGGTCACAAAGAGTTTCATGGCCCCGGATTCAGAAGTAACCCTCCAAAAATCTGGTTCAAGGTATAAAGGTTTCCTTCTTGGATGTGAAGTCAAGAACCATTTATTTCGGAACATTTCTGCTCCTAATTAACACTTCCCTGATCCGTTCTCTCCCAATAATTTTTTATCACAAAACAAGGCAATGCTCTTTGAAGTCAAGAACCATTTATTTCGGAACATTTCTCCTCCTATTTAACACTTCCCTGATCCGTTCTCTCCTAATGCTTTTTTATCACAAAACAAGGCAATGCTCCCTGAACCACGCACCATCATTTGGTGTTTACTACAAATGGAATGCTGGCAGACTGCTTTCCACCTGATACACTAATCATAAACTGTTAAACTACATGGGATTTTTCCACTATGGTATTGCATCCTACTTGAATCACGGATGAATATAACGCTTGTTTAGGACATTGAATTAATATACGACTGCTAGTGGAGATCAAATCAGCGTACGTCAATCTCAAGTTGCCAACACACCCCCGGAGGACCGATGAAATAGTCGTTTGTTATATCGTATACAATTATCTTCAACATAATCCTCGTGAGACGAAGATTTTTGTTCCAAGAATAATGTGCCTTTTTTTGAAAATGAACACATCTAAGCATCTTGCCGAGGGAAGTTGCCAGCAGAGGGCTCGGCTCGGCTTCCTTTTCTAACCGCATCCGACAAAAGTGTAGCGCCCGACGGCAGACAAGCTCCGGCTGGAAGTAATAGCCACTAGGATTGGCTGCTCACCAACCACTTAAAAGTAGGATCATGTGAGCTCACGTCGGGAAGGCGCGAAGACCCCACAGCCCTCAGTTTACAGTGGCCGCTTCCATTTTATGTTGCCAATCTATCACTTGTCCCCTGTGAAACTTTCAAAAATAATAAGAATAAGGCTTCCCTGGGCAGACGATGGCTCGGCATAACATGCGCTATCCACCCTAACCAGGCAAGTTTAATCTGCTTAGCTATCTAATCAGATTCGTTACCAAGTACCCGCTCAAGGTGTACTTCGTACCAAACTCGCTAGAGCAGGGAAACGGCGCGGATCAATTGGAAAATTGTTTCTTTTCTTTGTTTTAGTCTACCGTTTGTTTGCCTGTATTTTGCCGAATGTACTGCGCAGCGCATCGTTTCTATTTACAATCAATCACCTACTTCTTGTATATTTTCAAGGATTTCGAGGTGAACAGTGTCACGAAGCTCAAGGTTCAATTAACCAATGCGTCTTTCAAAGCGATAACATGCCGATACATAGACATGAGTGAAGAACTGCTTGATTTTGTATCAGTTCGGTAAGTGTTTCCCTTGAAAGCCCTCTGTGTGACCTTGTGCTTGGTCAAATAGGTGTTTTCACACACTACTGAATGATGGGAAGTAGGCAGAATGTCCACGAACATTTTGGTCTCATGACGTCGGCTGCAGCTTTGAGATTTCTAGACAAGGCAAGCTTCGGCTAACTGTATCAGAACAGTATGGAAAATGTTCAAACGAAAATGCCATTGAAATTCCTTAAAATCATGCAAATTGTGGAGGCGGAGCACATGGCCATTCTTTGCAGTCATTGACTACATATACTTATCTACCAACTTATCAGGAATTGAACATTTCGCTGTGAGTTTGTACGCTGTTGAGGTGAGCGCACGGCGGAGCGCCTTTAAAACGCAATCCTGTGAAGCAACCTCGTTTCACTGTGACTCAGTCAGCTAGTTCCTCTAGTGATACAGACGTCATTATTAAAATAACGCAGACACTTTACATCGCAGCTCCTAGAGCCGGAAAAATAAGTAAGTGGGTTCAAATCAAGCGACAGATGAGGGCGACAATATGGAGAAGCGTTTAAAGACCGTGCATAGAGTTGAATTAAGACTGAAAACATCTTTACGTATGCTCAGGATCGATCCAAGATGAAGTACACCTAATCTCTATAATCATACTTGGGGATTCTGGGTGGACACTGTAACTTGAATCAGTATTCTAATAAGCTCCGACGATAGTATGTTTAATAAATTTGGTTCCCAAGTCTTGAATGTTCAACTCATGTCTGTCCATTTCCATCATCTGTGGCTTCCAAAATATATACAACTTGTTCCAAAGGGTCACGTGTACTAGTCTACATTTCGGGCTGGCTCGGTTTGCGGTTGTAATCGAAGCATTGCGCATTCTTAACTTATTGGCTATTGGGCGAGATGGCTCAGTCCTCAGAGCACGAATTTCCTGACCGGAAGTTCTGTGAATCAAACCACACCTCCACACCTCGATTTGCCCTGTCTGGGCTTGGGCAGTTTGGCAGTATCCCAGCCTTCGTGCTTCCTTCGGGCAGCGTGGCAGTTGGGCACCGAAAGAGTGCCACGGCTGAGCGTTTATTGGCTACTGTCAGTAATGTCATATGCTTCGGAACATATCATAAACCAATCAGTCATTGTATTAAGGTAACCAGCTCCGAATGTAACTGGACTACATAACAGCCAATAAAATAACCGTTCTCGTTGGGACAGATTTAACTGGTTGCCCTTCACTCGCCCGTGACAGATAAATTCTACTTTTAGCATCACTTTTTGGCTAGCGTAGAACTTTCCACGACTGCAGATGACACGCCTGTACGCGTTAGTGTCCAACAGATCAACTGATTCTCACGCTCATTGGCTTTCTGGCTCGGCAGGCTATCGAGCGGCTTCCCAGACTCCGGTTCACGGTATTAGGAAGGCATTCAGAAAACTGTGGTCAACAACGCATTGATATTGAAAAATGTTCAATTGTCCTTGAAGTACGGTTTTTGGAAGAGACCTCATCCTTGTTCCAAAAAATAGAGAAACATATCAAGTGGTTACCTTTCCAACCTGAAAGCAGTGAAGGTAGCTTTTACGCGGCCTTTAGCCTTCTTTGAAATGCCGACATTTAATGCACCTGTAAAACTGATGAACAAACTAGTGGTTGCCATGAAGTGAAGTCTTTATGTGTTCAGTGGATTTCTCGAAAGTATAAACTTTTCGTTTGTAAACACGGAACAGTAAACTCTTCATGACAACAGTGTCATTAAGTCACATCCTCTATGAGAAATCAGTTTTACGTTCAGGCATATTGGTCTTATGTTGAGTATATCAGTACAGGTAAATAATTGTTTGTAACGATCCTCATATCCTTCATCTTCTCCTTTTGTCGCACCAACTTCCGCGAAGCTATTCTCCTCCTGGTGTGGTCTCTCCCGGGATGAGCTTCATCTTTGACGTGATCTTTACTCCGAAACTGGAACGGGATCTATGTGGGCAACTAAATTTCCTGGCTCCAAATGGTCCCTTCAGTATCCCTTTCAAAGCCACCACAAAAAAATACGAGGTATGTACAAAATGATTTCGCATTAATATCAGTTGTTTCCTAGAATGGAATGGGCAACCCCACCAACCTGTTTGTGAAGGGATTAATTGGAACGCTTCTTTCTAGACTAGACTCGGAGCTTCCTTTTGAGAAATGTCTACGCATCTTGGGCTGCTTTCACGCCTTTTCTGGCGATTTTCCTCGATTTACTCTTCATCAGTATTATTCTTACCATTAGTAGCTCTTGATAATCCTCCATATATTGTCGCAGGTGACCTAAAGGTTTCGACACTCCACCTTTAGCGAGACCAGGTTTGATAATTATTGTCGATTTCTGTCATGCTTCCACTTTTACACGTGACCGTTTGTACCCATAGTCATGCATCGCATCAATAAGAATATGCGGCAGGTCGCCGTGCTAATTCAATGAGACTATTATTCATGGTTTGAAGTAGTGAGTTTAATTAGCTAATTTTTCCCTTGCTGTGAAAACCCGGTGGAAGTGAGACTAAATACAGTACGCAAGCAATAGTAATCCATATTCCCTCATCACCGATCCAAAACCTACAGGAGCGGCGGAAAATTCCTTGCTCCTGCCTGCCTAAGAGAAACGGTTACTTTCGGCAATTTTTACTTAACAAGGCAGGAGACGTAGGCTGAACAATGTTCGCATTTCCTTTTTATTTCGTCAGCTACAAACTATATACCTTTAGGTTTTTTCCTGATATAAATGGGGCTGAAAGGATAGACACTTTCGATTCCTGTGCCCAAAAGGCAAGTTAACTGTCTCTGTCAAGGTCTTCTGTGTGTATAAACCAGGCCGATAGTTGTCACTATAACAATGAAACGCCAGCGGTTAATTCCTCCCGCCGTGCTTTGTTACCTGAAATTCAGATGAAATGATTTGTATCGGAACAGGTAGACTTTCTCTTCGGAGAGTAGAAGTGAGCAACTAAAAAGGTCGTGGGCGTGCGCAGGCGGACCATATATTCTAGAGAGTTTAAACCCAATTTCGTTCTCTCGATTGACCAATGTAAAAAGACATTCCTGCGAATATATTTTACCGAACAAATTGCATTGGTGTATGGTTTCGATTGGTGTGTAAGTATGGACCGGATGAATCCAACTACGAGTTGAGTCATCTGCACAAACTCGGTTTTAGCGGACAGCTCGGAAACCTTTGGTTAGCTTCCGTGGAGCTATGCGTATTGCAATAAAAATCTATGTCTTAAAGTGCAGGCGGTCCTGGTTCTCTCTCCGCCGACGCGCTGAATAACTTGGTCGGAGAATTTTCTGCATCACTTGCCAGACTGTTCATTTCATGCCTCGTTCCCGGGAAACTGCTGGATTACTGGAGGAAACCAGCTTAGAAAATATTTCTCGGATGTAAAGAGCCGGTCTTTCCAAATTATACTGTTCACAAATTTACTAAAAGTTTACACTGATGCACGAGAATGTGCCAGGAAGTTTGCAAGTAAATGTTCTACTTGATGCTGTAGCTTTCACTGCAACTGAACTGTGCCCCTGGTTCTTCTGAAGCGATTTTTTCAAAATTCGTTCAAAATTCCTTACACGACAAGGTCTCTCATCGAATGCCGGTACGCTGAGCATATCTTGAATTTTTTAATCTCTCATTTTGTGGATAGTGGTTTCCTTTTAGAAGGTTCCTCTGAATTATAAATATATTGTCACAAGCAAAACACTACCCAGCATCCACAAACCGACGAACTACCACGCGCCCTCAGCCCTATGACGGGGGCACGATAGGATACCTGTTCCGCATCCCCCGGACACTATCCCTCACTAGTTAATACGCTGAATACATGTCATATCTGGACGTTACGTTGCGTGACATCCTAATCCGAGTGGTTATAAGACTTACACCCTCCCTCTTAGGGATTCGCTTTCTATTTTGCAATCACTTGCAGCTTTTGTTTCTGTTCCACCATCAAGAAACAAAAATTCCTGTTTTTCTGAGTTTAAATTTAGCTGACTATTTAGAGCTAAGTAGGGGGATTATGACGTATACGAAAACCACT